ATCCACTGAGCCAAACCAGCTAGGGCTGTAGATATACTTTTAACAGCTCCTTTCCCCTACTGTTTCTGAAACTGGAAAGCTGCATATAGTGCACTTTTCCCTCTTTTACTTCCTCTCATTAAATGTCAAAATTAATCATGTTGTGATTATTATCAGTTAGTGGTTCAGCCACAGCCATTTCCTGTCCCAGTTCCTGTTCACTATTCAAAATAAGGTCCAGTATATTTTCCTTCCTACTGCTCTTAAAACTACCTGTTCTAGGAAGCAGTTGGTTTTTCTCATCTGAAAACTCACCTATATCTTTTGTGTCATTTTAGCAATTTGTATGAGACTAACAAGTTGGACTAAAAATGCAGCTTTCCTAAATGTTATTTAACATTTTCAATTTAAGTCATGATTCTGGTCAACAAATGAATCACCTTTATAAATGTGAATGTATTTATGGTTCTGCGCTATCCTGAAGCATGAGACCTTTTCTTGCATTTTCAAGGACAGTCCCAATTTAAAACACTGTCCTACTGTCACATCTCAAGTTTGGATTTGGAAAAGACAGTCAACATATATGCAAAGGGTACTTTGCAACACTGATTCTATGTGGCTACAGCCTAGGTAAAGGGTTTGTTAAAGGAAGGCAACAGTCATTTTAAGATTCTTCTTCTATTTAAAATAATCCCAAAATACATTCCACAAATTAAGTGCAAATGCCTCCAGTGGTATTAGTCTTCTTTAACAGCTTAGAATGAAATATCACAATAAGATAATGAAATAGTTGCTTAGATGGACAGGTTTGAAAATGAAGTTTTCCTTGCCCGGATAGCTCAGGTGGTTAGAGCATCATCCTGATACACCAAGGCTGTGGGTTTGATCCCGAGTTAGGACACATACAAGAATCAACCAATGAATGCATAAATAAGTGGAACAAATTGATCTCCCTCTTTCTCTCAAATCAATAAATTAAGAAAAAAAGGAAATGGATGATTTAATTGACACTGGGGAAAAGAAATATTAAAGGTAAATATTAAATAAAAATATAACACTGCACAATCTGTTGAGGTTTTCCTATAATTTTAGTACCTATGTATGCAATTCCAATTAGCAAAATTGGGTAGTAATCACTTTTCCCAGCCACATTTATATACAATTACAATTTAAATTAGGCCTTCACAAATAGTTTTGTGTTTAATTCCTCACCTGAAGATATGGTTTTATTGATTTAAGAAAGAGGGGAGAATGCCAAAACCACTCAATTGGGAAGGGACAGTCTTATTAACTAGTGGTGCTGGGAAAACTGAATATCCAACTGACCAGGTGGCTCAGTTGGTTGGAATGCACCAAAAGGTTGTGGGTTCAGTTCCTGCTCAGGGCACATCCTAGGTTATAGGTTTGATCTCCAGTCAGGGCATGTATGGGAGGCAACTGATCGATGTTCCTCTCTCTCCTTTCCCCTCTCTCTAAAGAAATTCAATGAAAAAGCATATCCTCGGGTGCAAATGAAAAAAATAAAAATTAGCCCTGGCCAGCGTGGCTCGGTTGGGCGATATTCCTGCACAGAAAGATTGCTGGTTTGATTTTCAGTCAGGGCACATGCCCGGGTTTCAGATTGGATCCCTGGTAAGGGGTGTGGCAGGAGGCAGCCAATGGATGTTTCACTTTCCTATTGATGTTCTCTCTCCCTAAAAATCCACTTTAAAATGTTTAAAAAATAAAAATTTGAGAGAAAAAAACAATAACATGGACATGAGAAACATCTATCGGTTGCCTCCCATATATGCCCCGACCCCTAGGATCAAACCCACAACTTCTTGGTGCACTGAACCAACTGAGCCACCCAGCCAGGGCCACAGATAGTTTTTATACAAAGCCACAATTACTTGCCATTCCGTCAACAATCCATATTCCTGTTCAGTTCTATCTGTGTCAAATGCCCTCCTTCCCCACCAGTGGAAACTACCACACGCCCTTTAAGGCTCCAGTGACAGCCCCCTGCTAAACCTCAACACCTCTTCTACTCGGTCTCTTAAAATTATTTGTTCATTGTTCTTTATTCAGGGCTTACTAATGTGCCAGTACCTTACATATTTTGTTTAATGCTTAATACTCCCCTCTGAAATATTATCATCTTCACTTAACAGATAAGGAAACTGAAGCTAAAAAAGGTCTGGTATCATGTTTAGCGTCACAAAGCCAAATAGGAATTCAACTGCTGAACTGTCTCAACTTTAACTGCATTCTCTTTCCACGAAACCAGGCTTGACAGCACTCTCTTACAGTGTATATCGTCATTATTTGTTCAAATATCTATCTCTCCCACTACACAAAGTTCCTCGAAGACAGGGAAGGTGACTCCATCATTATAGCCCCAGCAACACCCAACAGTGCCTATCCTACAACGATCTTAAAGTATTAATGAGTATCTACAATATCCTTATTCAGTGTATGGTCTGCAGCATTATCCACCACTGGTCTCCTTCCACCAAGTCTCTAAGAAGCCACTTTACTGCGGTGAGAAAGCATCACCACCACGGAGGCTTGGTAAGCAGACTGCTGGGATGTGACTCACCGCCACCAACTTGTTAGCTGAGAAATCTTGAACAAGTAAGTTAATCTAAGTTTTGATCAATTCATTTGTAAAAAGGGAGTGATACAGAACTTACAACATAGGATTATAAGGATTAAATGACATAACATATAAGCAATCCAACTATTTTTTGATCCTCATTTTTTTGGCATGCCACCCTGAATTTTATTAGCCTCAGTCTAGTAAAGTTTTTATCACAACTTCTTTGCACTTTTGCATGAAATGGATTAGCCAAAAAGGTTGATGGTTTTAAAACTGCTTAGGCCATCTACTTGATTTTTAGGACTCTGTCCAGTGTCAGTTTGGACTCAAGCTTGCTCTTGGAGGCTTGACTGGGCAGGAGTGCTGCCATGGTACACGATAGTTCATTTGCTTACCACATTTTTAAGCCCTCGCAGAAAGTGGTGAAAATGAGAACACAGAGACCTCCTACCTTACGAACACCTATCTTAATACTCTCTGAGGCATGCTGACAACTAACCTGTTTGGGAGGCAGGCTATTTCCCCGGCAAGAAATTTCCCTGTAAGCAGCTTGTGTCTGGCCTCAGGCATGGCTCATTCTCCCCAAAACTCACATTCCTTCAGAATCTAGAGTCTAGAGTAGACACTGAGCCACTACAACTAACAGTGGATACCCATTTCCTTCTCTTAGCAACCCTTACTCCAAAAAGTTAGCGTTTCAAACGGTTATGCTATTTTAAGGCTCTCTAGGCTAAAGTACATAGTTTCCAAATTCTCAGAATTCCCCCTTCCAACTTAAAAAATGTTATGAGAAAGTCCAGTTTGAGAGAAAACAAATTTTTTAAAAATACATAATCCCTAACAGCAAGAGCAAATACTAAGGCTATAGTTAAAGTATGGGGGGGGGGGGAATCTTAAGATGTCTAGTGGGCTAAAGCTAAGCAAAAACTATAAAATCAAAGTAGCACAAGTACCCCCCCCCCCAAAGTAAGCAGGATATACCACCATTAACAAAAGGATCAAGTGTAAATTACAAACTATTTAATACATTCACAATGAATTTAAAAATTACTTCTTGCTACGTAGACACTTAGATTAATAAATTGTTCCACATTCTGTACTTCCCTACTCAGTATATGTTGATATAAAGCAGTTCCTTTTTTTTTTTTTCTTGCCAGGCTAAAAATAAAATGGGTGATAGGTCAGTGGCAGAATGAACCCCGAAATTACACAGGCGGTTCTGGGTGGGAAAAGCCACGACTTGACCAGACAATAGCACAACACTGCCTGCCAGCATCAGGCAGATGAGAAGAGGAGACGAACGGACCGCGGAACCGTTTCCAGGCAGGAAACATGCCTTCAGGGCGAAGGACTTCAGCACCCGCTCGGTCGTGAGCGCTGGAGCCAGAAAAGCAAACTGCTGCCTGCTCAGCGGGTGCCGGGCAGCGACCCTCCCCGAAGCCCGCTGCCCGCGCGCGCAGAGCCCCCTCCTCCCGAGCCCGCTCTCCCGCCGCTCCCGGCCCGCCCGGCTCCGCCACCCGGTGCCCCTGCACGCCCTCCAGGACCCGACGCAGCCCCAGCGCCGCGCAAGTAGAAGGAATCACAGGAGAGAGGCCGCGGGAGGGAGGGAGGGAGGGAGGGAAGGCGGCGCGGGGCTTCGGCCCCATCGAGGATCAAAGACGGCGATGGCTCGGGAGGAGGGCGGCTGCGCCTCCACCACTCGCCAAAAGATGGCACGAGGCCGCAGCGGACCCCGGCGCGCAGGTGCCGGCGGCCGCTGGGGAAGTCACCGGCGGGAGAGGGCGACGCGTTGGCCCGGGAGCCCCCACCTCCATCCCGCCCGCGGCTCGCCTCGCCGCTTCTGCTCCATCCTCGGGATTCTGTCAGCACCCAACGACCTACACACGGTGCCAGCCCAAACGCGAAGGTGATGCCGGATCTCACCTTAGGAGCGGGCGCCACGCCGCTAGGAGGCAGCTGGGGTGCTGGGAGACTCCGAGGCGAGCACCGCCACCGCCGCGAGAGACCTGGGACTCACAGCGAGGCTGCCGGCGGGCGCGCTGCCTCCACAGCCGTCGCCCCACCCCCTTTCCCGCAGGATTTTGCGCCGGAGCCTGCAGTCTCCGCGCGCAGGCAGGGAAGGCGCCGGGAGGGGCGGAGCGCCCCGCGGGGGCGTATCCGAGCGCTTGTTAGTTTGATTGGCATCTACCTGTCCAATGGGACTACGAACACTCCAAGCTGCACTTTGACTGACTTATCTTCCAGCCAGTAGTAATAAAGAGGCGGGGCAAGTGGGTGTGCTTTTTAATTGCCGCCCTTCTGGCAAACCGGAACACAAGGAAAGGTCGGTGGTTTGCACTGGCGGCCAAATGGTCCAATTACCGCCGGCAAAGGGGCCTCTGCACGCAGATTGGCGTCCTCTCTACCTATAGGGAGCCCCAGGGGCGGTGAGAACCGGCCCCGGATGTGGGCGCGGCCCCGAGTTAATAGTGAGGAATCCTCTACCGCGGCCGTTTGGAGAGCGGAACTGGGATCTTTTTCTTGATTATCATGTGACGGGTTCTGGATTTAATGGGGGGAAAAGGGTGGACTAGGCCAAGGATCCAAACTGGCGAATTCCCTGATCTTCCCGTCCCTCTTCGGTCTCCGGCTAGCGGCGCAGCCAGGTGAGTCTGGGGCTCCGACGCGCTGGCGTCCTGCACGGGCCTCCAGATGCCTGGGTGGGCTGTGCCTCCGTCCCCTGCCCCCACCGTCACCCCCTCACACTCCCAACCCCAAACACAGAAACTTGCTTGGCACCAGGCTCCTGTCTTGCAAGAACCGCATTCAACTCGGTAATGTACTTGGGCCACCGCGCAAAATGGTGGGGGGAGGGGGAGAGTCTGGATGGGGCCCCACGGGCTGTGACCCTCCCTTGGAAGACGGAGGACAGGGTAATTTAGGAGCGTCCTGCAGTTCTAGGGACAGGAGGCGCGAAAAGCAGATAAGTTGGCCAGCAGAGCGCTGCTCCTTTGAGGGATGGTTAAGTTGGCCAAGGCTGCAGCAGCAAGGCCTTCCGAAAGCGACTCGTTCTTTGAAGAGTTCTGTGTTGTGGGCTCGTTGAGCACAACTGCCTTTGGCAGGACGCAGTCACTTGGAAGAGCCATGGCAGTGGCGAGAGCAGGGAAATGGGGGTGGTGTGGGAAGCGCCATGGACAACACATGAGACCGCACACAACTGACCCCGAGACACGGGAGCTGTGGGCAGGGCCCTTTATTTTTCCATGGGGGGGCGGGGGGAGCAACATAAAGTTTTAACCATAGATAAGGAAGCGTATGAACGAATACTTACCTCTCTTCAACGTACCAGAAATAACTGCCTCAAATAGTAAATATTTAAGTTGAGCAAATTTTTGTTTTGGAATATGCAAACCCCCCCCCCCCCTTTGAGGAGAAAGAAGAGTAATAGGAAACAAATACGACTGCCTAAATTAATGATTTTTTAATAAATTAATGATAAGATTGGGGTCGTATGTAATCATTGTAGCTCAGCAAACACAGTCCTTCAGGGGTCATTTAAGTATCAGCAGAGTGCTTCCCGGCCGAGGGCATTTTAGTACAAGTACATACAGAACTTTGTTGCCCCCCACATTGTAAAACTTGCAGCCACAAGACTTTGCATCCTTTCCACCTTCCGTCTTAAAGTACCTGTATTGAGTGCCGGTTCCCTTCTTATGACTAGTTGCCTCTCAGTCCTATATGGGGAAAAAATGAAGCTTGACTCATCCAATGGCGGAAAGAAGAGTTACACGTAAGCAACTGTATTATGGACTTTTGAAAGGTTCACAAAATGGCCAGATAGACTCCAGATCGGGATTGAGCAAACTTATTAGACCCCATCCATAGTTATCAATCAATACATAGCCCTCCACCTTTTCATCCAAGTTCAGCCCCACGTCCCACTGTGACATCCTTTGGCCAGGAAAGGAGACCAGCACAGAAGAGAAAAAGCATCTGCTTTTCATACTGCAGAATGAAGCACCTGCCAGCTACATACACAAGTTGAGTGCAAGCAGATGGGTATAGCGGGGGAAGGGGAATTAGGTGACTCATATGGTACTATTGAGGTAAAACAGGCACTGTTGAAAGTAGTAGAGATATAACAGAAAACATCCAAGTTCTAAAATATAATTTACTAAACACACTAGTCTAGGCCATTTGATTCATCTTCTAGCCAGTTTCACCTTTTCCTTGTTTGTTTTTCTGCATTTTTACTCTTACCACCCATGCTATTGTTACCATCACAACCACCATCTGATCTTTTCCTCTTTCCATCAGGTATCTATCCTCTCTCATCTTCAATCTATCACTCCCCTGTGGGTTATATCCCTGAGCTGATACTCATACTTAGGTTTCTCCTTTACTGAAAATTTCTTCTTGAATCTCAGTCTCATTATATGTCTTACCTTTCATCTTCTCCAAATGTTTCAAGGGGAAGTAAAATGTTGTCAGCTAGTATTATCTTCTGTTGACTCCTCATCCGCTGCATGTAATCTGTCTTCTGACTTCTCATTCTACTTACCTTTTTTCCCAATGGTCACAAGACTGATATAAAAAACTCAAATAGTATAGCGCATACTGTAAACCAATGGTTCTCAACCTGTGGGTCACGACCCTTTCGCAGGGGTCGCCTAAGACCATCGGAAAACACATATGTAATTACATATTGTTTTTGTGATTAATCACTGCTTTAATTATGTTCAATTTGTAACAATGAAATTGGGGGTCACCACAACATGAGGAACTGTATTAAAGGGTCGCGGCATTAGGAAGGTTGAGAACCACTGCATGGGAATATTAAATAAATACTTAGATCTAAGTATTATAGATTAATGGCCTCCCAATCAAAATTCCAAGCTTTTAAGAATTAGTGAAAAAATGAAAGGACTAAAAATGGTAGAAAATATTCCAGAAAAGAAAACAGTGAGTAGGTACTAGGCCTTCCAGATATTAGAATGTATCCTAGAACATATCCACTAACAGTCATAGTACTAGTGCAAAACAAATATAGAACATTAAGACAGAATAGGGATGTAAGAAACAGCCCCATCTGTTGAATAATTTAGCATCTAATAATTACAAAATGTCAGATTTTAAGTGATGATTGAAAAGTAATGAAAAAAGTATCTATATCCCAAAGCAAAAAAAAAAAAAAGAATTATAAGAAAGTAGACTAAAATAGGTATTTATAAGAATTTGAGAACGTTTAACTTAAAAATATAAGACCTATAGATTAGACTGTGTGAAAATAGTTTATATATATTATTTAGCCCAATGACCTATTTATAATCTTATACTTAATGTCGTAATTTTTATTAACCATTCCCTCCGTACTCCTCTCTTAGCTTAATATCATCTCCTTTTTTTTCACTGCTTTGATTTTGGATGCTTTTTCTTAGTACTCCTTGAAACTGAATGAAAATCTGTAGGTGTGCAAACGTTAAGAACAAGTTAAGAACATCCCTAAGGTATAGGAATCGTGTCATGAGTGCCTGGACCTGAGTGATAGCAATGAAAAGCAACAGACTGTTCTTGAGACATTGAATAGCTTATATCCAGGGGGTATACTAAATATTTTATTGTATTTTCTCATGGGGTAAAAGGAATAATGGATGTAATGCTGTCAAAGATAGCTACAAATTTTATAGATTTTGAAAGGAAGAATGATAGAATGTTTTCAAAATTAGGAAATCTGTGAGTGGGAAAGATCCAGCTTTGTTCACCAGAATTAGAAGTGATTTTTTTTTTCCTGGTATCAAAACCATCTTGACTTTCTTCCCTTCTCTTAGGGTATATTTCCCATTTTTCGACGCTGCAACAGCCTCTTTAAAGTGTTTAAATGAGAATGTCCTTGGCTCAGAGAGTACTGCTCACCTGGCTTTTCACATTACTCTTCTTGATCATGTTGGTGTTGAAACTGGATGAGAAGGCACCTTGGAACTGGTTCCTCATATTTATTCCAGTCTGGATATTTGATACTATTCTTCTGGTTATGCTTATTGTGAAAATGGCTGGACGATGTAAGTCGGGCTTTGACCCTCGACACGGATCACACAATATTAAAAAAAAAACCTGGTACCTCATTGCAATGTTACTTAAATTAGCCTTCTGCCTTGCACTCTGTGCTAAACTGGAACAGTTTACTACCATGAATCTGTCCTATGTCTTCATTCCTTTGTGGACCTTACTGGCTGGGGCTTTAATAGAGCTTGGCTATAACGTCTTTTTTGTGAGAGACTGACTTCTGAGGACATTGTCTTACTGCTGTTCAACAAGCTGTCATTAAAGTGTTCTGAATCTTTGCAAGCTTGAAGAATACCAGAAAACTGAAGAAAATACCAAATGTAGTTTTATACTGCTTCCATAAAATAGTCTTGGTGAATCATGAACTTCCAGTCAATCCAAAGCTTAATTATTCAATATTTGAGTTATTAATATCTTTATTATCCCTATTTAAATAAAGTTTGTTTTGGACCTTATATTTCTACTTGACGTTTAAATCTGTTGTAGGGATGGATCAATATTCAAAGTAAGTAAATACATGCCTTCTAACCTACATATTTGGAGAGAAGTTTAATATATCATGGCCCCATTACAACAAATGTAATGGTCATTTGTGCCTCTAAAAAATAATGAAGGGAAAAAAATTAGTTACTGATATAATTAGAGGGTGCTACTTCATGTTTACATTAGAAAGAATCTGAGAGTTTGACAGATTTTTGTCTAGGCAAAGTACTTTGTTACTTCTACCTTCTGTTTAGGACAGAAGCAGAAACTTGCCAGACAGGAGGATTTTGTAGTTCAGTAAAAACTATGCATGCATGTATTATCTAAATGTAATCTCTCACAGGGCAAAGGAAAAGAAGGGACAGCCCACATGCAAACAGTCCAATTTTTCTGTAAAGGGTTATATATTAAATACTTGTAAGCTTTCCGTTGCAACTACTCAACTTAGGTTTTATGTCAAGAAAGCAACCATAGACCATGGCTAAAAATTTCATCTAATTTCCACATTTGACAAATTATTCTTTTTTGATTTTTGTCTCAACCATTTAAAACTCACAGTCCATATAAAAGAAAAAGATGGCCCGTGGGCATTATTTGCTGACCTCTGAACTAGGTCATAAAACAAGAGTAGAAGATCTATATAAGATAGCTGAAAGGAAAGGTGTAACAGATCTCTGAGGAAGTTGGTGTAAAAGCAACATCATAAGTGTTTTCTTTAATTTGGTACACTGCCACATTAAATACACAACTTGAAGCAATGTGTGCCTTTCCAGTTCTGACACCAATTCAAATCTGTGTTTCCCCCACACACGCACACCACCAAGGAACTAATTCTGACACTACCTGGAGATGGCATCACATTTACAGATTAAGGGTTCAGTCCCAGTAGACTAATTCCTCAAACTTAAGAGGCCAGCCCTGGCCCATGTGGCTCAGTTGGTTGGAGCATTCTGTCATACACCAAAAGGGTGGATTCCCAGTCAGCGCACATACCCAGGTTGTGGGTTCAATCCCTAGTCAGGATGCATGCAGGAGACAATGTTTCTATCTCTTGATGTTTCTCTCCCTCTGCTCTCCCCCCCGCCCCCCCCCCCCCCCCCACACACACACACTAGAATCAATAGAACAAAACCAAAAATAACCAGAAGCCAATCCAACATCCTGGTTGTGCTTCTGACAGGCTATACTAGTAATTGGAGGTGCCCATGACCCCTTCCTCAAGTTAAATTAATTTGCTTATGCAGTTCACAAAACTAAGAGAAACATTTTATGAACTAGATTACCAGTTTATTATAAAAGGTTATAGCTCAGGAACAGCCACATGGAAGAGATGCATGGGGCAAAGTATAGGGAAGGGGCACAGAGCTTGCCTGCTATCTAGGTGACCACTCTTCATCTGTTCACCAACTTGAAAGCTCTCTAAATCTGGTCCTTTTGGGATTTTATGGAGGCTTGATAACATAGTCATTAGTTAAATCATTGGCCATTGGTTACTGAACCCAATCTCCAACCCCTCTACCCTGGAGGTGAAGGGAGTACTGAAAAGTTACAACCCTTTAATAACAGGGTTGGTTCCCCTGGCAACCAGCCCCCATCCTTAGGTTACCTAGGAGTTATCCAAGTCACCTCATTTACTCCAAAGACATTTTTATCACACTTATCACTCAGGAAATTACAAGTGCATTAAATTCCTGTGCCAGGAATGGAAATGAAGACCAGATATATTTTTTAAATGTTTTTTATTGATTTTTTAGAGAGAGGGGAAAGGAGAGGGATAGAAGCATTGATGAGAAACATCATCAATTGACTGCATCTTGCACGCCCCCTACTGGGGATTCAGCCCTGACCAGGAATCGAACCTTGATGTCTTGATTCCTGGATGGACGACACTCAGCCACTGACTGAGCCACACTGGCTGGACCAGCTATATTTCTTATTAGAGATCACAAGTTCACAGCCTTAGTAATTAAGTACTGAAAAACAAAAAAGACAGAAATTGCCCGACCAGTGTTGCTCAGTGGTTGAGTATCAACCCAGGAGGTCACAGTTGGATTCCTGGTCAGGGCACATGTCCAGTTTTCTGGCTCAGTCCCAGTGGGGGGTGAGCAGGAGGCAGCCGATCAATGGATTCTCTCATCACTGACGTTTCTCATTCTCCCTCTCCTTTCGTCTCTGAAATCAATAACAATATATATATATATATATTTTTTTTAATTATGCTCACAGATGGAAAAAGCAAAACCAATGAAATAATACATAAAAACAATTATTGCAGAAAAATTCCTTCATACATTTGTTTTTAGTTATAGCATACCTCCTATATAACAGATGTTTATTAACAGTGTTTATAAAAATAACATTCTGCCCTAGCTGGTTTGGCTCAGCAGATTGAGTGTCGGCCTGCGGACTGAAGGGTCCCAGGTTTGATTTCGGTCAAGGGCATGTACCTGGGTTGTGGGCACATCCCCAGTAGGGGGCGTGCAAGAGGCAGCTGGATCGATGTTTCTCTCTCATCGATGTTTCTAACTCTCTATCCCTCTCCCTCTCCCTTCCTCTCTGTAAAAAATCAATAAAATATATTTTTAAAAAAATAACATTCTGCCTTAAGAAACTTGAAAATTGAAAGGTTCTTAGTGAAGCCATTATTTAGCAGGTCAGCATGGACCAGAAATAATTTAATCTGTTTGGGCAAAAAATTTGTCCAAAATTCTAAGTAAAAGCAACTTGTAAACAAATAACTTGTTATAAGTCTTGAAAGTATGAACACTAGAAAACAGCGAATGGAGAGATAAACAGGTATTTAGTAAATAGAGATCTAAAGCTTCCTATCGTTTTAAGTTATTAATCTTACAAATCAAAGTCATGTCAGCATCATATTACAAAACAAGACACAAATTACCAAAGGAGTTTCCTGCCTTGTCTGGTGTGGCTCATTAGTTGGTTGGTCGTCCCATACACCAAAAGATAGCAGGTTCAGTTCCTGGTCATGGAACATACCCAGGTTGCAGTCGGAGCGCGTGCAGAAGGCAACAGATCAATGTTTCTCTCTCCCTCCCTTTCTCTCTCTAAAGAACAAAAACAAAAAAAGAAAACACTCTTCTTCAAAGTATTATTGTTATTTCTATAATTCATGACATAGAGTGTAAAGGTACACAGCAATTACAGAATATTAGAACCAAGAAGAAAAAAAAAAACTCATTATAATTATGAAAAAACTAAAGATAAATGAAATCAGCCCATGGTCCTTGATAAAGGGAGACATTTAACTCCAAATGCTGTTTCCACAAATAGGTTTCAAATGCTAAAGATAACACTTGATTAAAAGCTTTTATGAAAGGTACCTACCTACTAGTAATCCTGTTTTACTCTCATTTTGCTTGTTCTGTATTCAAATCAGCTAAATCATACTGGTCATCTTATACCACAAAGCAAATTATCACTATCATCCACTACAAACAAATTTGTAATTCACTTATACCAGGAAAAGGCAGTCTGTGACAAGACATGATTTTGTATTTCCAGCTCAGGGCAAATAATGAAGTAGGAAGAAGTTTGTTTTTGATGTATACCTACCTCCACCATACCCTTGATGAAACTTTCTCTTCCCAGATGCCCAAAATTTGAGAGAACAAATTTGTTATTTCCAGGATTATTTGTAGTGTTTATGTTATGCCAAGCAATGGGCTAAGTAAGCATTAGGCATGTTCTGTCATTTAATTTTCACCACCTATTAACAGAATAAGTATTACCCCCACTTTACATGCAGATTAAGTGAAGTAATTTCTCAACAGTATACAAGTTATCATTACCCTTAAATGACCCACAGCTGTACTGCTACACATGTCCTCAGCATAATATCCCAGTAAAACGGTTTTACAGAAGGTTGCTTGTGAAAATGTGCCACCTTTATGTCCTTGTCCCACTCCTGCAACAGGATACTGTAAACTAAAACAACTACTGCATGTTATCTTGCTTCAATATTTTCAACTTCTGTTCACTTATATCAGTATGATGAACCACAAAAGCTTATTCAGAATACCTGTTAACCAGATAACCAGATTTTCTTTTGCCAAGTAAAACTCAGGAATAGTTAAATTCTGCTTCAGGTTATGAAATATTAAGGTGCTTCTTACATATTTTCCATTTAAACACTTTAGATATAATTAAATTTAAACCTTAATTTGTAAAAATTTTCAGTGTTATCTCTGGTCGAAGGAAATAAGAGTTGGGTAAATTTTATTAGTTTATCAATACAATTATTTACTATCTCCACACTGCCCAACAGGACTAGATAGCAAGTAGCTATCTTCTTAAACTTTTCCTATAAGTATGCAGTAAGTACAAAATAGAAATTTAGTTTCTTTATAGTATCTGCTGATCTAATTTTCTCCACTTTTCCTTCTGTTGCAATTCTAGAATTACATTATGCATTAATGTCAGAGGTAGACTTTTTAAATTATAGAAACCTACATAATTTGTTTTTCCCACCCCCAATAAAATTAGGGTTTAACTTCTGTTCCTTGAAATATTTATTAAACATCAAGTGTACTATATATTAGGTGTTGGAAATACAAAGGAATGTAAAGAAAATTCGTAAATCTAGCTCATGGTTTAGCTAGAGCCCAACATGTACATAACTAATACATATATTAAATGATGTGAATAAAGAGGCACAAGAAGCAGAGGAAAGAATTAGTTCAATACCAGTTGTGGGGTAGGGTCAGTTGAAGATGAGGTCAGTAAAGAACATACAGATATCTAACTGGAATTTTTTAAAAAAGAGATTTCCCTATGTTGTATTTCAGGCAGAGATTTCCCCCAGCAAAGACAAATAATTTCAAAAGTACACAAAGGGAAGTACTGCCATCTGTTAAAGCTGAAAATTAGGCACATTAAATGTCAGAGATTGTAGTAGATGAGGCTGGAAAGGAAGGGCCATATCATGAAGGCTCTTCAGTGCTATGTTGAGCATCTGGCCTTTATTCTTCAGGAAAGGACCTACCGAATATTTCTAAGCAGAAGTGTAATAATCGTATCTTAGGAAGTTTAATCTAGTGGTAACATAAAGAATGGATTGAGGCCGTAACCGGTTTGGTTCAGTGGATAGCACGTTGGCCTGCAGACTGAAGGGTCCAGGCTCAATTCCGGTCAAGGGCATGTACCTTGGTTGTGGGCACATCTCCAGTCAGGGGTGTGCAGGAGGCAGCTGATCGATGTTTCTCTCGCATTGATGTTTCTAACTCTCTATCCTTCTCCCTTCCTCTCTGTAAAAAAATCAATTAAAAAAATTTTTAAAAAAAGAATGGATTGAGGTTACAGATGGTTACTAGACCAGTTTGTAAAGTATAGAAATGTTAAATCAATGTTTTACACCCGAAATTAATATATATCAACTATAATTTTGTTGGATGGATTGGAATGGGAATAGGGGCTGAAGACTGCAAGCAGCATTTTAGGCGACCTTAAAAGTCCAGATGAGATGAACATCTACAATCATTCTGAATATCTATAATAAGAATAGACCAATTATAAACATTCCTGGAGTCAACTCAAGAAAATCTCATAATGCATTGTACAGAAGAAATGCTAGAGAAATCAGATTACTATGAGATGACTGTGTTCTCCATATTAGGAGAAAAAAAGAATAGCTAATGCTTGGGGGCAAGAGAGGAGTTTGGATTTGATTACAAGGTGTATTAGAACTTAAGTGAGAACCAATGCTAAGTAAAGTCATGAAGACAGTTCAAGGACCCAGGGTAGAGACCTGAGAAATAATCATGGAGACTAGGTTAAATACTGGAGAGGCTAAAGCAGCCATCCAAAGAAACAGAACAAAACAGATGGGTCGTACAGAGCTTTAAGGAGTAAATGATTGATAAGTGCCACAGGGTTAAACAGAATTTAGAAATTCAGCCACTACCCTAGCTGACAAGCTCGGTGGTTAGAGCATCGGCCTGCACACTGGATGGTCTCAGGTTCGATTCCCAGTCAAGGGCACCTACCTGGGTTGCAAGTTTGATACCCACTCTGGATCAGGCTGCGTGTGGGAGGCAACCAATCAATGTTTCTCACATCCATGTTTCTCTCTTTTTATCCCCATTCACTGCCCCCCCTCCCTTCCACTCTCTAAATCAATGGAAAAAATATCTTCACTCTCCTCAGGTGAGGATTAAAAAAGAAAAATACAGCTACTGCATTTGGCAAATGATGTCCTTTGAGAGAACCATTTCAGCTGAGTGATTAAATTTGAGGAATGCAATAGTAGTGATATGAGGAAGAAGTAAAGGCAGACATATTTTTAAAAACTATCAATCAGGAATAGAGATGGAACAGGAGCATAAATAGAAGCCAAACACAAGAGGTGTTTTTTATTGATTTTAGAGAGGGAGAGAGAAACATCAATGTAAGAAACATCCATCAGCATGACACCCCCAACTGGAGGTCAAGCCTGCAATCAGGGCATGTGCTCTGATCCAGAATTGAACCAGCAACCTCTTGGTGCATGGGATTACACTCAACCAACTGTGCCACACCTGTCAGGGTGAGAAGTTGTTTTTTCAAAGATGACAGACCTGAGACTCTTCATATAAAAATTTCAAATAAAAACTTGAGGGGCAGCCCTAGCCCATTTGGCTCAATGGATAGAGCACTGACCTATGGACCGAAGGGTCCTGGGTTCAATTCCTGTCAAGGGCCCATACCTCCCTCAGTTACAGGTTCTTCCCTGGCCTTGGCCCTGGTCAGGGCGCATGCAGGAGGCAACCAATCAATGTGTTTCTCTCACATCGATATTTCTGTCTTTCCCTCTCCCACTCTTTCTGAAAAATATACTTGGGTGAGGATTAAAAAATAAAATAAATACAATAAATAAATAAATAAATAAATAAATAAAAGCAAGCTTGAGGGGCAGATAAAACTACCCAAATAAAATAAATATTGTATTACTCAAAATATTTGCAACTATACTGATTTGACTGGGAGTCTGCATACTTAGTAGACTTCATTAGTACAACAACAGTGAACTTGATAGAAAAGTGTAAAGACATTTTAAAAACATGGATGCATAAATTCTAAATTCAAAAAAGTATTGAATGTCTCATTTTAATGCAGTTCTTGGAAAGCAGATAATAGCAATAAAATATACAACTAATACATTTTATGTATTTATTTTAATCCTCATCCGAGGATATTTTTTCCATTGATTTTTTAGAGAGTGAAAGGGTGGGAGTAAAGAGAGAGAGAGAAATATTGAGATGTGAGAGATACATCAATTAGTTGCCTCCCACACTAGCCCCAACCAGGGCCAGGGAATGAACCCACAGCTAAGCATATGTCCTTGCCCAATAATCAAACCTTCAACCCTTGAGTCAGTGGGCCAACACTCTAACCACTGAGCAACTGGCCAGGGGCTAGTACATTTTATTTTTAATTTCTAGTTAACATAAATTCTGTTTCCCCACATTTTGTTCTCAGCTCATTCACATTCCCTGATTGGCTCTGAAGTCCTGGAAAGGAAGATTAACTGAAATGCAAAATGTTTCCCTCTCCTTACCCTGCCCTCCTAACATACTGTATATGATATATAATGTCTATAAACTTGAAAGGAAAGATATCTCTGCTTTTCAGCTCCTTGTGCTTGACATTCTAAAACGGGTGGAGAACCTTTTTTCTGCCAAGGGCCATTTGGGTATTTATATCATTCTCGGGCCATACAAAATAATCAACTTAAAAAATTAGCTGCTATATTTGGTCAAACATTTAATTAACTCCTAATGCCTTACGAGGGCCAGACCAAATGATTTCAAGGGCCTTATACAGCCCAAGGGCTGGATGTTCCCCACCCCTGTTCTAAAAAGTGATCATTTCCATCTGTAGTATGCAGTAGGTTAGAGGAAGAACTGAACAGAACAGAGATAAAGGAATGTATACCTCTCCTGAGTTGTCCTCTTAACTATCGATATCAGAGTTATACTGTCTCTGCAAAATACATCAAATATAACTCTTCCATGAAACAGACAACACATTCTAAAACCAGTAAAATTTTGTTTATATATAAAAGCAGTTATATCAGGTGGAAGAAAGATTAAGAACTGTTCTACCACTTTGAAGACATAAAATTCTTCATGTCACTTATCAGCTTAAAAGTATTTAGAAAACAATTCGACTTTTGTCCTCCCCTCCTGAGACTGAAATGGTCATGTCTAAAGGGAAAGGAGGCAATTTACCATGCCATCCCAGCACCCATACCTAAGTAGTTTAGAGAATTTGTTTAAGTTAATCTTCAATATTTTCTTTTGGCATAAATTAATTTATGGTAACCAGTTAAGAGGGGGAAAAAAACTTTCATATTGGAATCACTTTCTAGACCTTATGGCTTCTGTTGAAGACAGAGAAACAAGAACTTTTAGACGACGAGATGAAAATAAAAATCAAATGTAAAAAAAATAATTACAAAAACAAAGGTAAAAAGATTATGGTTATCAATTTTAATATTTATTGAAAGGTGGAAGACAAGGAAAATCCTCTCAAACTCCAAAAACAAATCTTGCACCTTTGCTAAGTGTAAAATGAATGTTGAGATACTTGCTTTACATGACAATGAACTTGTCAAAAAAAACCAAAAAAACCCCCAAACTGAATGCAATTTAGCAAAATAGTGCTAACCTGTTATTTACAAAGTGATCTCACCTGCCATGTGTGTTTGAGAAAAAAAACTGTTACACTCGGGAACACTAATGAAATACTTTGAAGACTTAACCCAATAAATCTTTCCTACCTTCCCAAGACCCACCACCCAAAGTTATAGAGTGTACTGAAAATGAATATATGTGGAAGCAAACATAAGTATTTCCAATAATCGTACACACATGCACACACACACATAGATGTGCTACATTAACCTAATCTTTATTGAAGGTCAACAGCCTTACTGACAAGAAAGATAATGAATATGGCTTTTGTAAAGTTTTCAACTAATTATCATAAATGCTTAATTCTTTTGCTAGCTAACCAGCTAACCTGAGTATTGAATATGTATTACTTAGTTAAAAGGGTATAAACAAAAGTAATTTTTAAAAAAAGTACTGTCATAGATACCACTGAGGTACTTTAGTTTTTTTCTAACCATCTATGTATCAATTTAATAATTTACATAACTATTCTATATAGTATAAGATCATATAGAAGCTGTATCTTAAATGTGTTATTGTGCTGGTCCAAGACATTTGAAATAACAGCAAAAAACCTGTGTTCTGATAAAGAACTGGAATGTACTGACTAGGAAACCATCGATACGCTGCAATATTGAAATAGAAATTGTGTGTCACAAAAGTAGTCAAAAAATTCTCAGATTGCATCTGAAGAGGATTTTAAAATCATAATCCATACAAGGAACTTTAAGCATTATTCAATGTAACAAGGCTATATCTTGAAATCTGAATTTGAAATTGATTTATATTTCATGTCCACAGAGATGTATGTATTTTACAAAACAAATTTTCACAAGATGGAGAAGTTTGACTTTAGGCTATATAGGAAACAAAAGGAAACCACTGTTTTGTTAGATATATCTTTAAATTTAAATTAAAAGTTTCATTTCATTCCGGCCAGTGTGGGTCAGTGGTTGAGTGTTGACCTATGAACCAGGAGGTCTTGGTTCGATTCCCAGGCAGGGTACATGCCCAGGTTGTTGGCTAGATCCCCAATAGGAGGCATGTAGGAGTCAGCCAATCAGTAATTCTCTCTCATCATTGATATTTCTATCTGCCTAACCCTTCATATCTGAAAGCAATAAAAGTATATTTTAAAAAAATAAATGTTTAATTAAGGCTCGTATATTTTGGAGGGATACCCAAGATATTTTATTACAGTATGATCTTATCTATGTGTATGCTACTGGAAAATTGGAACTAAAATCCTGTTAAATATATTACCCTTCAATTAAAACCAGAAAACCAGAAAAATATCCCCTATTTCTTAATACTGGTTTGTTACGAACTTTTCTCTCCTGAAATGGTAGGTGCAAATACATAAATTTAGCTTTAAGAGGAGATTAAGTGAGGGATAGGATAAGACAGTAAGATATAAAAGAAAGTCCTTATTTACATTATCATGATTTATATCTTCTTTATTCCATGAAGATTCCTATGTTGTAAATATATTGATTTCCCACAAACCATTGAGATTTTCAACAATATTTGCCTACTCTTTTCAACTAGGGGCCAGAAATGATATAATTGCTATAGTTTATATTTTTCTGATGAAATGCCTCTTTCTAAATGGCTTCTTCCTAACCAGAAAAATAAGCAGTTTTATGGGTATCACAAATGAGGCTGGGGCGGAAAACACTGAAATGAGAATAGCAACTCTAGCCCAAATGGCAGCACAAAGAACCCCAGTTGAAAGTCAACAACCAAAGTATAAGCCCAGAAAAATAACAAAGACAAAATAGATTTGTAATAAGCAGAGTTGCTGAAATCCATCACTGAAGACAATTATTTTAATAATCTTTAGCTAGGCACTGGCAATCCTGTTTCCTACCCCAATTTTACTTTCTAGAGCTTCTTTTGAAAAACAAATTCAGTTGACCCTTGAACAAGAGTTTGAACTGCGTGGATCCACTTAAACACAGAATTTTTTCAATTGACCTGTGCAATTCAAACCTATGTTATTCAAGAGTCAGCTATACTCTGTTATTTACCTTGCTAGGGTAGGCAGAGGGATCCTTAGAAAAAAAGAGAGAATACTTTTTGTTAGCTACATCTCTGTATGAATCGTGTCCTTATTTTAAGATTTTATATTTGCCATATTTTCTACCTGCTTTGCAAGAAAAATGTAAAAGGATTTTAACTGCCATAATTAAACTTTCTGTAAATATGTTTTACTCAACTACTGTGAGGTATAGCAAAAGTGCCTATTAATAAGAAAGTCATCTCAACTTATCATTCCATACACTACAAATAAAATTTATGTTAGGGCTATGTAATCTGGCCACAAAACTTCATTAATTAGAAGGGTTAGATATCACTAACAGACTTGTTTTGCCCAACTTTACAAAATTATTTCTGTTACCTAAACTGCTTTCTTAATGTTGAATATAAATATTTTAAAATGAATTCCTGGGAGTAGGGCTACAAAGTTTCACACATTCATCTTATTCAGCAACTTAAGAAGTTATGTAAAATGATATATATATTCCCATACATACACACACATAAATATGCTTTCATAACTGAATCTTGGTTTTAAAAATGCTTACACAATGTGGGGAATTTAAATATTCACTAGATTTGAATATGTACATTTGCTCTCCTTTACCATTCTAAATGGATACACCAACAGACACATGATAGATTAAATAAATGATTTAACTGAATTATCAGTTTGTCTTTTGCACACCCGACAGAAAACATATTTATTATGAACCTTTATTAAGTGGCTCACATTTCAATATAAATCACACTAAAAAAAATTTTAAAGCTATTTACACTACAGTGCTGACACATTTAAAATGAAAAAAAAAAAAATGGTATAAATAAGCTCTATGGAAAAGCCTTAAATTGTTGAAAAAGAATTCTGGCTCATATTACTCTATATATATATATATATATATATATATATATATATATATATATATATATATATATATATATAATGTCAGCTCTATTCTAAAATCTACAACTCCAACACAAATGACTTTTTAAAGACTCCATTTGTTTAAACCTGCAATGTTTACAGTGCATCTGGCCCTAAGTGCTTTGATACTTCACAGTTATGGACAGGCACTGAGGAATGTTACAAAGCTACATAAACTATATTTCGTAACAGACTTGAGAGCAAGTCCTTGGCTTGCTTTCATAATTCATGAATCTTTATTACATTATTAAGTTGTTGTTTTTAAAAAGATTTTAAATGGTATGTACATATTTAGCACAAAATGTCATCATCTTTTCTATTTTGATGTGAATGTACTGAACTATGTTGCCTTGTATGAACTAGACTTAAGAGACTTTCAGGGCACAATTCCTCCTTTAAGTCTTTGTTGCTATTTTCAAATGTGGAGTCCACTTCAATCTTAAATTCTGTAAATTGAACATGATCCAATTTTGCTTTAACATTCTTGCCATCCATATTATTCGGTGTTCTAGTCTCTTCAGAAACATAAACATTCACAGATTCTTCATTGATTCTTACAGATGCAACAGGTTCCTGTTTAATCTGCTGTACTTCATATTTAGAATGAAGTGTATCTGAAAAAATAGACTCCAAAGAGGTTTTGCTTACAGCACAAATCCTATCGTCACTGTGAGGTCCAAGAACTGATGATATAGAATCTGGTGATGTCCCCATTTCATGAGTATCTGTATTCTGAGCAGTGTCCTCCTCTGAGTGATATAACTTGAGCCGAACGTGCCATGCTAAACTACACACAGCTGAAACTGTCTTGAACTGATGAACAACATTCCTTGGAATAAAATAAATGTCATTATCATACAGTTGAATCCTGGCATATCGAATGCCTTCTCTCCTCAGTTGATTAAGTTTTGCATCATCAACCCATTGGACACACTAAAAAAAGAAACAAGGAATAGCAGTAAGTCTTTTTCACAATAAAAATTCAACTGAAGACAATAATGGTTTTAAATATACCTGGGACAGTGGAGGTTCATGTAAATCTAACTGCATTCGTTGAACTACTTCTAAGAAATCTTCAGCATGAAAACAAATGACATCTTTGGTTATTCGGGGTTGATCAAGCCTAAGAAAGAATATGAGATAAGGAAGAATGTGCCATTAATGTTTCATTCTGTTAAGACCTTATTAAATTCAAATTAAAAATCGTTTACAGTCAAAACCAAAGTACTGTTTTAGAAATAAAGTTAAATTATAATTAACAGACCACTTTACATATTTAAACAAAGGGGTAATAAAATGGATTTCAACCTAAATAGATTAAAAAAAACAACTAACTTCAATTTATTATAGCTATGTGTAACCACAGTTTGAAAAATTAAAACTATCTGAACTGGTTAATTATGTAAATAAAAAACTAAGTATTTTGTATTAAGTTAAGGTCAATATTTCAACAAATTGAGAGAGTTGAAAATAATATATAAAAATTAGAGTTAAATATGGGGGAAGGGAATATTTTCTTTCAATAAAGACATATATAACTATAATGATACTTAAAACCCCTAAATAACTCTTAATGAAAGGACTAATAAACTGTTACCACTCTATTTTCTTTTAATATCTATCTATCTACCTACCTACCTACTTACCTATCTATCTATCGTTCATCTCACCTAAGGATATTTTTCCATTGATTTTTAGAGAGAGTGGAAGGGAGAGACAAAGAGAGAGAAACATCAATGTGAGAGAGGCATATCGTTTGGTTGCTTCTGCATACACCCCAACCAGGACTGGGGATTGAGCCTGCAACTGAGGTATGTGCTCCTGATCAGAACTGAACCTGGGACCCTTCAGTCCGAGGGTGACACTCTATCCACTGAGCCAAACCAGTTAGGGCTATCTGCTTGTCTTTAAATATAACCCTAGAAAAATTCCCAAATTCTTTAATTAATTAGGATTATACAAATACATCTTCACAAAAAATGCAGAGGGGAAATTTTTTTTTTAATGAAATTACAAGCAACTAAATACAAAAACAAAAAATTATACCAAGCAAATTATAAACAATTTTTTCAAAATAGTGATAAGGAGAAAATCTAAAACTCATACATCACATTAATATATTGGGAAAGAAGGATGAGGATGATTGCAGGCTTCTCATGAAAGACAATGCACACCAGAAGACAACAGATTATCTTTTAAATATTGAAAGAAGAAGTCAATCTAGAATTCTATAGCTACAAAAAAATATCTTTCAAAATGTGAAATAAAAACATTTTCAGACAAACAAAAGCTGAAAGAATCTGTCACCAGAAGACCAGCACAACAGAAAATGTTAAAGGAATTTCTTCAGACTGAAGGAAAATGATACTTAGATGAAAATATAAATCTATTCAAAGGAATGTAGAGCACAAGTAATAGTAAATATAAAAGGTATTTTAATCTCATTTTTAAAATCTCTTTGGGAACACTTCCTTATAGCTAAAGTAGCATATTGGGCATTTACAGCATATGTAAAATACAAATGTGTGACAATAATTAGCAAAAAGTCCAGAAATTGGGGGAGGGGAGTTAATAAATGGCAGTATGGTATATGAAGCTAGATTCTCATAATTTAGAGCAGTGATGGCGAACCTTTTGAGCTCGGCGTGTCAGCATTTTCTTTTTTTTATTATTATTAGTTAAGCTATTACAAATGTGTCCTCATCCCCCCCATTAACCCCTAACCTCCCCCTCCCCCCCGTCAGCATTTTCAAAAACCCTAACTTAACTCTGGTGCCGTGTCACATAATAGAAATTTTTTGATATTTGCAACCATAGTAAAACAAAGACTTATACTTTTGATATTTATTTTATATATTTAAATGCCATTTAACAGAAAAATCAACCAAAAAAGAGTTCGCGTGTCACCTCTGACATGCGTGTCATAGGTTCGCCATCACTGATTTAGAGCAACCACTAATAAGCAAATAGTGAAGGTATAAGGAATGCTAAAAAATACACGAAAAGGGGGAAAGGGAATAAACAAGAATCAAATGGGAAAAAGATGATAAATTTAAATCTACATTTAATGATACATTATATGTAAATGGTCTAAATCAGAGGTTCTCAACTTGTGGGTCGCGACCTCTTTGGGGGTCGATCAACCCTTTCACAGGGGTTGCCTAAGACCATCGGAAAACACATATATAATTACATATTGTTTTTGTGATTAATCACTATGCTTTAATTATGTTCAATTTGTAACAATGAAATTGGGGGTCACCACAACATGAGGAACTGTATTAAAGGGTCGCAGCATTAGGAAGGTTGAGAACCACTGGTCTAAATACTCCAACTAAAAGACAGTTTATCACTGAATTTTTAAAAAATCAAAATAGCCGAGACCAGTTTGGCTCAGTGGATAGAGCGTCGGCCTGAGGACTGAAAGGTCCCAGGTTCGATTCCGGTCAAGGGCATGTACCTGGGTTACGGGCACATCCCCAGTGGGGGATGTGCAGGAGGCGGCTGATCGATGTTTCTCTCTCATCGATGTTTCTGGCTCTCTATCTCTCTCCCTTCCTCTCTGTAAAAAATCAATAAAATATATTAAAAAAAAAAAAGAAGCAAAATATACGGTATCTACATGAAACAATATAGGCACACAAATGAAAAAATAAAGAATGGACAAAGACTAATCATGAGAAAGCTGGACTGGATGTATTAACATCAAAGGAGATTTCAAGACAAGGAATATTACCAAGGATAAAAAGGACAGTTTATAATGATAATGAGGTCAATTTGAAAAGAAATAATAATTCTAAATGTGTAGTCACCTATTACCAGAGCTTCAAAAACTATAAACCTTGAAAACATGCTTAATTAAAGAAGCTAATCACAAAAGACCACATATTATGTCACTGCATTTATATGAAACTAGAGGCCCGGTACACAACATTTGTGCACTAGGAAGGGGGGTCGCTCAGCCCGGCCTGCACCCTTTTGCAGTCCAGGAGCCCTCAGGGGATGTCCAACTGATGAACATCCTTAGTGCTGCCGTGGAGGCGGGTCACTGCACTCGCCATCCGTGAGCCTGGCTTCTGGCTGAGTAGCGCTCCCCCTGCAGGAGCGCACTGACCACCAGGGGCAGCTCCTGCATTTAGCATCTGCCCCCTGGTGGTCAGTGCGCATCATAGCGACCAGTCCTTCCTCCATTTGGTTGATTTGCATATTACCCTTTTATTATATAGGAGGATATCTAGAATAGACAACTACAGAGAGAAGAAAGCAGACTAATGGTTGCCTAGAGCTGAAGAGGATGTAATAGCTAAAAAGTCCAATCCATAAACAAGTGATATCTCTTTTTGAGTTAATAAAAATATTCTGTAATTGTAGTAATAGCTGCACAACTATGGGTACACTAAAAACCACTGAATTATATATACTTTAAATGGGTGAACTGTATGTCAATAAAGCTGATGTCAAAGAAAAATACCTACAAGGGAAAAAACCCTATCAAAGCTAAAAGGAGAAATAATCAAGTTAAATGTTACAGTTGGAGATTAATAACACAAAAGTGAGTAGGAATACAGAAAACTTGTACCACACTATCAACAAAGTTAACTTAGTTGTGCTTAATAAAGCATTATACCCCCAATAACAGCAGAATATACATTCTTGTAGGTGCACATAGAACATTCATCAAGGTAGTCCATAAAACAAACACCAGTAAATTAGGGACAAATTATACAGAGTATGTTCTCTGACCACAAGGGACTTAAGTTAGAATTCAAACACCCCCCAAAAAATCTAGAAAAATATTCTCAAATATTGAAAAGGAAGCAACAGTCTTCTAAATAATTCATGATTTTTTTTAAAAAAAGACATCAAACAGAAAACTTAAAAAACTCTGAACTGTCTATATATATAAAAAGCCAGCGACTGAAACGCCGGATGCCATGATGCCCACTGCAGCCATCGAACAGGCCCTATCTGGGGGTGGGGCCGGCTGCAACCTCCCTCAGCCCCTCCCCTCAGTCGGCCCCACCCCTGATCTGCCTCTCCCACCCTGATGGAGGGTGGGGCGGCCAGCCAACCCCCCCACAGCCCTTCCCCCCAGCTGCCCTGCCCCATGGGCCCGCACCACCCTGATCAGCCTGCAGCCCCTCCCCACAGCCAGCCCCACTCCCCGATCAGCCCCCACGACCCCAATCAGCCTGTGGACCCTCCCCCCAGCCTGCTCCCCAGACCAATCAGGGGTGGGGCTGGCTGGTCAACCTCCCCTGGCACCATTCAGGGGCAGGGCTGGTTGGCCCACTGCCCCTCCCTATGGCTGGCCCTGCACCCAATCACCCCCCCACCCCAATCAGGAGTGGGGCCCACCGGCCAATCACCCGTGGCCCCTCCCCCCAGCCGGCCCCCCACCGTCTCCTCCTTCCGACTGGCCCGGCCCTGAACCACTGACGGGCCAGGCCAGCCGGACCCCACCCATGCATGAATTCATGCACTGGGCCTCTAGTATAATAATTAAAACACAACATCAGTATATGTGGAATATAGCTAACATAGTGTTTAGAAATTTAGTTTTAAATACTTATATTAAAAAAGAAGAACAAGTTCTTTCCTTAAAAAAGAATAAATAAATAAAGAGCATTTGTGTATCTTTTGTAAAATGCCAGTTCAAATATTTGTCCAATTTTAATTGGATTGTGTTCTTATTTTTGAATTGTAAGAATTCTTTATATATTTGGATACATGTCATTCACACATATGCATACACACACACACACACACACTTCAAATATTTTCCCCTAGTCTGTAGCCCACTTTTCATTATCTTAATGATATTGTTTTCTCTTATGTTTCATGAAATTTTTGCCTAGTGCAAAATTTTCCCCAATGTTTTATTCTACAAGTTTTATAGTTTTAATGGTTACATTTATTTCTATGATCCATTTTAATATTTTTGTATTGTGTGAGATAAAAGTCAAGGCTCATTATTTTTTAATTTTTGTTTTTGTGTATGGATACCCTGTTGTTCCAGCATCATTTCTTGAAAAGACTCTTTTTCCCCAGTGAATTATTTTGGCCTCTTCACTAAAAATCAATGAACACTGGACACTATTCTGTTCCATTAATCTTAAAGTTTATCTTTATACCAATACCACCCTCTCTTATTTACTGTTGCTTCAAAGTAAGCTTTACTGGTAAAATGACAGGCAGTATAGTGTAAATCCTCCAACATTATTCTCCCTCCATCTCTCCAAGACTGTTTTGCCAAGGTTCTTTGTATTTAAATAAGAAAACCGTATTAGCCCTAGCTGGTTTGGCTCAGTGGATAGAGCTTTGGCCTACCGACTGAAAAGTCCCAGGTTTGATTCCTGTCAAGGGCACATGACCAGGTTTCGAGCTTGATCCCCAGTAGGGGGCCTGCAGGAGGCAGCCAATCAATGATTTTGTCTAATCACTGATGTTTCTATCTCTCTCCCTCTCCCTTCCTCTCTGAAATCAGTAAAAAATATATATATTTTTAAATAATTTTATTGATTTTTTACAGAGAGGAAGGGAGAGGGATAGAGAGTTAGAAACATCGATGAGAGAGAAGCATCGATCAGCTGCCTCCTACACACCCCCTATTGGGGATGTGCCTGCAACCAAGGTACATGTCCTTGACCGGAATCGAACCTGGGACCCTTCAGTCCCCAGGCCGATGCTCTATCCAGTGAGCCAAACCAGCTAGGGCTAAAAAAATATCTTTTAAAAAAAAGTGTTAGATTTTATTAGGATTAAGTTGATCTATAGATCATTTGGGAAGGAACTGACACAATATAGAGTCTTCCAATCTATAAAGAAGGTATATCACTACATATATGTAAGTCTTTTAATTTTTCTCATTAGTGTCTTATAGTTTTTAGCATCTGTCTTATATTTTTAAAATTTATCTCTATTTCAGGTTTTTATACTATTATTGTGTGGTATTATTTTTCTATTACATTTTCCAAATGTTTATTGCTGATATATAGAAATGCAATTGACTTTCAATATTGTCTTATCCCAAGACTGATACATTTGCTTATTAATTCTAGACTTCTTTTGTAGACTTGAGGAATGAACTACTAATACATGTAACAACTTAGCTGAACCTCAAAAACATTATGCTAAGTGAAAGAAATCAGGCATCATGTATGATTGTATTTATGGAGGCAATACTAACCTTTGAAGACAAAAACAAACAAACAAACAAAGAGTTTAAAGAATGTCTGGCCCTAACTGGTTTGGCTCGGTGGATAGAGCGTCGGCCTGCGGACTGAAGGGTCCCGGGTTCGATTCTGGTCAAGGGCATGTACCTTGGTTGCAGGCACATCCTTACTGGGGAGTGTGTGGGAGGTAGCTGAACTGATGTTTCTCCCTCATCAATTTTTCTGACTCTCTATCCTTCTCCCTTTCTCTCTGTATAAAATCAATAAAATATATTTAAAAAAAAAAAAAAAAAAAATGTATGGAGCTGATGTAAGGACGGGGGAGATTAACTGCCAAGGGATATGAAGGAAACAAAATGTTCTATTATCTTAGTCGTGGTAGTGGTAACATGCCTATATACATTTCTCAAATGTACATCAAACTCTGTATTTATAATAAATGTGTGTAAATGTTATTCAATGTAAATTATACTTCAAGTAGAGGCCCGATGCACGAAAATTTGTGCAAGAGTAGACCTTCCTTCCCCCAGCTGCTGGCACTGGCTTCCCTCCAGCCGTCGGCAAGGCAGCCGGGACCCAGGGGGCTTCCCTCCAGCCCCGGCTTTGTCCAGAAGGATGTCCGGTCTAATTAGCATATTACCCTTTTATTATTATAGACAGATGTTTGGATTTTTTTAAACATTGGATTTCAAAGAAGCAACCTCAAATATATAAATCTACCAGGTGGCCAGGTGGTGTGGCTCAGAGCATCGACCTATGAACCAGGTCATCACAGTTGGATTCCAGGTCAGGGCATAAACCCAGGTTGAGGGCTCAATCCTGAGTGTGGGGTGTGCAGGAGGCAGGCAATCAGTGATTCTCTCTCATCATTGATGTTTCTATTTCTCTCTCCCTCTCTTTCCTCTCTGAAATCAATAAAAATATATTTTTTAAAAATAAATCTACAAGGTAGAGCAAATGTAATTTTACAGTTATAAGTACACAAAACAGAGTTTATTCTTGTATTACCATTTTTTATTAATTATGGAATTACTTTCCATACAAACTGTAAACCTACTTTTGCTTCACCCTGTATATGAATCCTTCATAATACCTAGAGTGGTATAATTTGATCAATACTTCATAAGCCTATCTAGCTGATGATTTCTATAAAGTCTAAATCAATACTGGTCTTTTATTTCAAATTGGTATTAAGCCTGGCTCTAAGATAAAGTCAAGAATCTAAGACTCTAATACCTCATGTCTTCTTGAGAAACATCAATCAGCTGCCTCCTGCACACACCCTACTGGGGATATGCCCGCAACCAAGGTACATGTCCCTAACCGGAATCGAACCTGGGACCCTTCAGTCCGCAGGCCGATGCTCTATCCACTATGCCAAACCGGTTAGGGCAAGCCATGCTTGCATCAGAGCCAAGAAGCCCTCTTATAGCACCAACAAAATTATTTTCTTGCCATCTTTAATATAGTAAGCAAATTGTATTTTACAATAGTGGGAAAACTCATAGCTAGTAATATCTCATTCCAAAATCTGTCTCAAGCATATTCTTAAATCTCGCCACCTAACTTATTAGTCAAGTTTGGCAATAGTCTCTATACTATGAAATTGCTAGCCACAAAAGTGGTTTTTTATTCAATAGATATTTATTGGGAACTATGATGGGCCCATGAAGGATAGAACACAATCTCTAACCTCAAATCAAATACATAGTGAAGGAGAGCATATATACCAACAATAACTTAAAGAAGCTTAAAAGAGGTTTTACCAAAGTGCTAAGGCCATGAAACAGGAATATTTATCTTTGAAAGAAAGTGTAAATATGTAGCTAACTTTACTGAACACTAGATTTCACTCTAAATAATTCTTGATGCCATTCTTAAATCCTTCTTACCAAACATTCAAGAGAAATTTCATTAATTTGAAATAGGAGTTTGCAAGGATTTCCAGATTACAGGAAGAGCATAGAAGCTATATGGAAATAACTACAAATATTTGAAAATTAACATTTAAGTTAAACACAATTTAATTATTATTGAATTATTAACTATTAATACTGTTTTCTTAAGGATCTCTTAGGGTTAATTCAGTACTAGCTACTTTGTTGAGAAAATAACTTATTCCAACTTAGGTTTCATACCTAAACAGTACTCAGTTTGAAAACAAAAACTTAAGAGAGCAAACATATCTTACAATATCAAGAGCTTTGCTATATGTTTTTTATCAATAAATGGAAATTTTCTTAATTATGGGATGATACCTTAAGTATATTAAAGAGACTTATCCATTTTCTTAATCTATAAAAAGATTCAAAGTGAAATTTGTAAAAATTATTATGCTAAATCTTAGCAGGGAGCAGCAAGGTAGAATAGTATAAAGAGAAAACATAAGAGTTTGGCTGGAGTCAGATCTGAAATCAGTCTCAGCTCTACCATTTATTAACTCTATAACTATGATAATGTTATTTCACAGCCTTGAGCCTCAGTTTCCTTGTGTGATAAATATGGGCCTAGAAGTAGGTAATAAAAATCAAATCAACATTTGTAAATAGGCATATAGTAAGCACTAAGTGAATCTTAATTTTTCCTTTTACCTTAGATAGGATCATTGTTTTCACCTATAGTTACTTGGAAAATAAAATTACTTCAGTCAAACCCAAAAGACTAAATAAAACTAGGTTCCAGTCATTGAAAATCTTTTTCAGTGCAGTTAAAATATCCAACTTTAGGGAAAATAAAATCCCCCCCCCCCCCCCACAGAAAGGAGAATGATCGAGAAACTTCCCCCCCAAAAATTTAGAAGCCAAGAAAACATTTCATTAAAATAGCAGTAGTTAATATATACCACTCTCCACAGTGCACAGCCTTCAACACTCCAACTGCAGCTGTAGTCTGTCGTTCAAAACCTTGTCCTATATGATCTGCATGAGCTCTTGTCCTGTCTTCAAAGAGCATCTCACGGGGCTCACTAGTTCGAGGTAGGTACTGCAGGTTTTTTATTTCATTGGTAGTTCTGTTTAAAAAAAAATTACACTTATATTTTATATAGATGGGGGTAGGCTTATGTGTTAAGGATTAATTGCCCTCAAATATTTGTATTGATGAACTAAAGGCTTAACTGCCAACAAGCATTGAGTAATCACATAATTCAGAGAAAGGAAATTTCATCTGCTCCAAAATTAAGTTTTATTTTTCAAATGAACACATATAAACAAGAACACATATATAATCCACTCCTTTTCTTAACACATCCTTCATAACTGGAAGTTCTTTTTGTTTTTATTCCTCACCTAAGGATATGTTTTTATTGATTTTGAGAGAGAGAGGTAGGGAGAGGAAGGGAAAGAGTGATGTGAGAAACATCAATCAGTTGCCTCCTGTACACGCTCCTACTGGATATCAAACCAGCAACCTAGGTATGTGCCCTGACTGGCAATCGAACTCACAACCTTTTGGTGTACCAGGCAATGCTCCAACCAACTGAACCCTTCGGCCAGGGCCATAAGTGGAAGTTTTATGGAAGTTTTAAGGCAACACACACTAAGATAAGAAACCAAATTACAGGTGGTGTGGTTTACCCAGGTTTCCCTATGCAGAATCTTTACCTGAAGTTTGGGTCTAACCTGAGGAAGCATGTTCCCAATCAGGGCACATGGCAAACATAATGTATATATCTGGAACAAACAAGTAACTTTAAAAATGCATTAATATTTATAGAACATCTACGATATGTCAGGTATTATTTAGGCACTGAAGCTAGTGAACAAGACAATAGTGAATAAAATAAATTCCCTACTCTGGTGGAAGTTTATATTCTGGTGAAAGGAAGACCAAAAAAAAAAATAAATACCAAGAAAACAACAAGCATATAAGTACTTCCACAAAATACGCATGGTTTATTGGGGATAGAAAGGAATACCTTAGCTCCCCCTTACATTGGCCCTCTTCTCTACTGCTCACACCTAGAATCCACATGCACAAAGAAGCTGCTGACTACTTGGCCTCACTCACTGCAGAAACCCTCTCCAATTTTGCTGTAGAAGAGGAAAAGGCTGAAAAGAAATTCTTTGATTGGGAATCATTGTCTTATTTATCTTTCTGTATGGTTTTTCTGTTACTTCCAAAAACAAATCCAGATTGTCCCATAATTTTCTCCTCTCATCCTAGCCCAAAAAATTTCTATATGTGACACGGCACCAGAGTTAAGTTAGGGTTTTTGAAAATGCTGACACGCTGAGCTCAAAGGTTTGCCATCATTGCCCCTAGGACAATTTTTTGATATTTGCAACCATAGTAAAACAAAGACTTATATTTTTGATATTTATTTTATATATTTAAATGCCATTTAACAAAGAAAAATCAACCAAAAAAATGAGTTCGCGTGTCACCTCTGACACACGTGTCATAGGTTCGCCATCACTGCCTTAGGGTCTCTTCCTTATTAGTTCTCTAATTTACCATCAATCTCTACTCCTTAACTACTCTTTGTGTAATCCTGCATTACAGTCTTTTTACAAACTTACACACAAATACCGATGATGCTATTACATACTTTTTTGCTCTTTGAGGTTAATGTTATATAGGTATCAGAAAGCTAATTACATAATAATATTGCTTACTGTGGGAAGTTAACAGGCTTTCAAGCACACAAGTTTGGGGGTAGGCTTATGTGTTAAGGATTAATTGCCCTCAAACATTTGTATTGATGTACTAAGGCTTACCTGCCAACAAGCATTGAGTAATCACATAATTCAGAGAAAGGAAATTTTAAGTCATCTGCTCCAAAATTTCTCACTACCATTGCCATTATAAGTTTTTATCTTGCTGAAAAAGGTTTCTTCTAGGCTTCAAACTTTTATTCTATTATTTTTATTTTTTACCTTATGTTTAAATATCAAACTTCTTAATGAGGTAGGAGCTATGGCTTTTCCTTTCAGGTGGACTGCCAATTATGTCATCATTACACATGAATAAATATTTCTTTTCCCAATATACAGTGGGGCCTTGACTTACAAGTGTCTCAACTAACGAGTTTTTTGAGATACCAGCTGTCTCTCCGCCGATTTTTTGCAATGAGTTGACAGAGTAATTTGAGTTAACGAGCTCCTTAACGAGCTTGGTCTCGGAACGAATTAAACTCGTAAATCAAGGCCCCACTGTACTTTTATCTATTTGTGTGCTCTATCCTATTCTAATGATCTTTTTGAACTTTATAGTAATTTTTATTATCTAATAACACAAGGACCCTTCACTTATCTTCTCTTTCTCAATTGTCTTGGCTATTTGCTGGCTTTATTTATTCTTCTTTATAAAGTTTTAAATCATTTATCCAATGCTAGAAATATCAGTCCAATTGAAATACTAAGTTTCAAAGAAATATTATTTTTATCCAATCCAAAATACAGTACTGTTTTCCATTTGTTTAGATCTTATTTTATATCCTCTATAAGATGTTTTAGTTTTTTTTAATATGGGTTCTAAATATTTAAATTTATTCCAAATAGTTTATGTCTCTACTGTGAATGATATTTTTCCCATTTCTAATTACAAATTATTGTCATCTGCCTTCATTTCTCATGTTTTATTTATATTTGGTACATTTTTAAAAATTATATCAGCATATATAGCCATTCTTAAATTTACATTCCAGTTATGCCCTAAACCTTCCCCTCCTTCTCCCTCCAATTTTCAACACATACACACACCCAAACATGTCAACACCCATCCTCAGCAATACAAATTTGTATATCCAACATACCTTTTCCTTTTGAAAGGTGACTTTGGCATATCAGCCACAGGGATCATTTGTTCTCCTGGGCGTACCCACATGATAGGACCATCATCACTATCTTTTCGACTCTCTAATTTTAGACTAGATAGTGTCCCCCATGGCAGTGTACACTAGAGGCAAATAATTACATAAAAATGAATTATTTTCAAAATATATCTTTAACTATGCATTAAAGACTACTGCCCCCTTTAAAACTTGCATATATACTTTTATACTTATGCCCTTTGAAAGACATACCTATATTAAATATATTCCTACATATGCATAATTTTCCATCAAAAATTCTATTCCAAACACACAAAGAGAATAATTATTTTGGTGTGATTTCCTCCCCCAACCCTGTCATGAACATGATTCACTATACTCATCATTTGTTATTCTTCCTTCTACCAAATATGTTAATAAATTGCCAAAATATGCAAGTATTGTCCATGAGAATCTATAAAAATAAACAGATACCTCTTGGATTAGTTATAATCAAAGCCTAGTACAAAGAGGAAAACCAAAACACAATCAAAATTTATTTCTGTTTAGTAGTTGCTTGAAAAAATTATTGGATTAAAAAGCAGAGATTAAAATCTTTGAGAAAAAAAAAGAAATGACTGAGTCCATGGAATGGTGACAATGATATTAAAAAAAAAAAAAAATCATCCCATACCCCTTTTCAAAAAGGGGAGAATTGTCAAATTAAATTTCTCCAGAAAGAATGCATTTGTTTTTAATTTTAAAATCTCAAAAAAAATATTTAAATAATAGTATTTTTAAAATACCATTCAATACAAATGCAACCCAATTCCATGATATCACTAGTTGGGAGAAATAGAAAAGAAATATAAAGTTCAAAAGAATAAAAAAGGAACTGAAAGGGAAATAAAATGTGGTGAAAAAATATATATACACACACACACATACATATAGACTAGAAAATTGAGCAAGCATAAGTAAAAAAGGAAGCGATGTTCAACAGATTAAGAGGCAGCAGTAGTGATAAACTGATACTTTTTAAAAAAAATCTTTATTGCTGCCCTAGCCGGTTTGGCTCAGTGGATAGAGCGTCGGCCTGCGGACTGAAGGGTCCCAGGTTCAATTCCGGCCAAGGGCACATGCCTACGTTGCAGGCTCGATCCCCAGTCAGGGATATGCAGGAGGCAGCCAATCAATGATTCTCTCTCATCATTGATGTTTCTCTCTCTCTCTCCCTCTTCCTTCCTCTCTTAAATCAATAAAGAAATATATATATAAAAAAAATCTTTATTGCTTAAAGTATTACATATGTCCCCTTTTCCCCCCTTTGATCCCTTCTAGCCCATTCCTGCTCCCATCTCTGCACCCCTGCCCCAGGCCTTCACCACCCTATTGTCTGTGATAAACTAATCTTGTCACATTTTAACCTTTGAGTTACTAATTAAATAATCTAGCTCAGAGATTCTCTAGCTAGAAATCATTTAAAGACTTTAAAGGGACCTTAAGCTACATATTTTTATTTATTTATTTATTTATTTATTTATTTATTTATTTATTATATCTTTATTGATTTCAGAGAGGAAAGGAGGAGGAAAGAGAGATAGAAACATCAATGATGAGAGAGAATCATTGATCAACTGCCTCCTGCATGTCCCCCACTGGGGATCAAGCCTGCAATGCAGACATGTGACATGTGCCCTTGACAGAAATCGAACCTGGGACCCTTCAGTCCACAGGCTTGACGCTTTATCCACTGAGCCAAACTGTTTAGGGCTAAGCTACATATTTTAAATGCCTATTTTATGGATGAGGAAAATGAAGTCCAAAAATGGCTTGCCCAACCCAGCTAGGTATAGCCAAAAATGAAATGCAGCCTGGCCGGTGTGGCTCAATGGTTGAGCATTGACCCATGAACCAGAGGTCACCAGTTCGATTCCTGGTCAGGGCACATGCCCCAGTTGTGGTCTTGGTCCCCAGTAGGGGGCGTGCAGGAGGCAGCCAATCAGTGATTCTCTCTCATCACTGATGTTTCTCTCTCTCTCTCCCCTTTCCTCTCCCTCTCAAATCAATAAAAGCCTATTTTTTAAAAAAAATGAAATGCAGATGTACAATTTCCCAGGCCAGTTTTCCACAATGCCAAATGGCCATTCCCTTTTCCTAAGCACTTATACATCCTTCCTGTACTTCTTAAATCCCCTAATATTCTGTCTATAGCTAATAAACAGATGAAACTTAATTTCCTTAAGTGGCAGTAAAAGGTAAGTGTTATTTTCTGGTCCCCCACTTAGCTCTGCCATTATAATTAGTACCAGAGAAGTCATAAACATACACTACACTAGAATTTAATTTCTCATCTCTTCCTTTCCTTCCCTCCAATTCAAATAAAATAAAAAATGTTAGAATTCTGAAACAACCATCTGCATCACCTGTAGCATAAAAGTAACACCCACAATTTAGATTGCTTGATATATTTTTTTCTCTTACCTTTAAAAACGGTGAATCTTCCAACATATCAAGGAACTCAGGGAAATAATCTCCCACTTCTTCATCAACTGCTCCTACCAAACTGATTTGTCGCATTGGGCCAGCTCTGTAAGTACCGTGAGAATACGTTCTTTTTACCTGAAGGATATGGAATTAATTAAAAGTTATACATAAGATAATATTTGCTCTCACTGTGTAACACTAAATTATATTGTCCAAAAATATCTGAACATAATGTGAGGCAAGCAAAACAAAACAAAAAACCTTTACAAACAGTAAAAAAATAAATAACTAAAAAAATAAACATCTGCACTAAATCAAGCTATTTTATATTTTACCTTTCCTTACTAATGCCTATGCATAGCTTACAAAAACAGCTGAGATAAACAGCATATTTTATTTTTTAAAAAATATATTTTATTGATTTTTTACAGAGAGGAAGGGGGAGGGATAGAAACATCAATGAGAGAGAAACATTGATCAGCTGCCTCCTGCACACTCCCCACCAGGGATGTGCCTGCAACCAAGGTACATGCCCTTGACCAGAACTGAACATGGGACCCTTGAGTCCGCAGGCCTACGCTCTATCCACTGAACCAAACCTGTCAGGGCTAAACAGCATACTTTTAGACAACTGAGCATAACTTCTTATAATACATGAGTTCATTATTTGCTCAATGATGCCACTGTAATTATACTCAAAAATTTATATATCTAAATTTTTCTAAATGGCTCATATTGTTTTTATCAGAATTTTCAAAAGTACATACTGTGAAAACACTACATTTAACCATCACCAGTGGTTGATTTGTCTAAAAGGCCACAGGGAATGATCTTTCCTCCTAGATCTTATCATATTAATTAGGATCCAATTTATAATTCTAACTCTGATGAAAAACTACTAGAGATTAAGAACCTGGAGTTCTAGGTCCCAAATCTACCTTTGCTATCTACCAGCAATATGACCTTCAGAAATCACTTAAATTCCCTGAGTTTTAGTTTCACTAAATGGAACCGTTTACTTTATATAATTATTAAGAAGACTTAATAATTATATAAAGGTACCTGCAGAGTGTTAGCAAATGGGTATTACTCAAATATCAACCAAACTAAAACCGCCTACAGCTCAAGAATCATTGGTAAATAAATTTTCACAAGTACATTTAAGTCCTGAAAAGAGACCTATGCCTTTTCATATGCTAACACTAGTAACAAGTCTTTTTTTTTTAAATATATTTTTATTGATTTCAGAGAGCAAGGGAGAGGGAGAGGGAGAAACATCAATGATGAGAGAGAATCACTGATCAGCTGCCTCTGCATGCCCCCCACTGGGAATCAAGCCCGCAACCTGGGCATATGCCCTGACCAGGAATCGAACCAGTGACCTCTTGGTTCCTGGGTCGACGCTCAACCGCTGAGCTACACCCGGCTGGGCACAAGTCTTTTTTAAGTAAAACAAAATCCGTACATAAACAAACATTAACACATTGTATGTGGGAAACGTATTTATACGTTTTACGTATTGATACGTTCTACCAGTGTAGTAGAGCACGGGACACGTATTAATACGTTTTTTATAGACTAGCGGTAGAATGCGGGTAACGTATAAATACGTAAACTAAAGTTATCGTAATTTTACTGAACATTGCCATTTGCGCAAAAAATTAGCAAAAATGGCCCGCGCCACCTGTTAGCGTGCGATAAAAACTACCCGCAAACTATGTGTTAAGCTAAAGCCCAAGTATCTTTTACTCTGGATTAGCCTTTGTGGCCACATATTTAGGGAGATAAAATTGTCTTCTTTTGCCTGGGTCTATCCCAGTTTAAAAAATAAAACAAAAACCTTACTATAATATTATTAAACTACTAGAAGCCCAGTGCACAAAATTCGTGCATGGGTAGGGTCCCTAGGTCTGGCTGGAGATCAGGGCCGATCTGTGGGGCAATCGGGGGGCCCTCACTGGCACCTGCCTTGGTCGGCCTGGGGCCTGCGGGCAGCTCCTGCATTGAACATCTGCCCCCTGGTGGTCAGTGCGTGTCATAGCGACTGGTTGTTCTGCCATTCGGCCAATTTGCATATTAGACTTTTATTATAAAGGATAGAGAAGGGATAAATACAATAAATAATCAAAAAACAAGAACTGATTACTACCAAATTTAACATTCAGCTCTGTTAGAGTAAATGTTCTGTGTTAAAACCTTAAGTAAAAACCTGTATCATTTAGTAACCTACAAGTGGGTTAAGCTTCTTGAGTAGCAATATTAAAGACAAATTGCACGTTTTATCTTATACCTTAAGTACTTCACTATCTTTGATTTAACCAGATGTTGTTATCTTGTAATCATTTTGTTGACTGAAGCCAGGTCACGTCATTCAATTTACACCTTTACATTAATTTCCAAGTTTACAAATGTTCTTTGTTTAAAAATAAAATGAAACACATGTCTAGTACAGACCTGTATATAAAAAACTTTATCATAAAATAAAGTAGGACAAACTTGATCTCCCCTCCACCCATGTCTATTTTGGGGTTACCCAAGAAGAGGCTATGCCTTTTGAAGATTTTTTAAAAGTATGATCCTATTAAAATTCATAAATATTTCAAATGATATTTTAAAAAGTAAAATAACATAGACTCTACTTTGATTATAATCTTGTATATTGTATTTGAATGGTTATAGTTAATTCTTGTCACCTCATGGCAAAATACATATATATTATATTTAAAATTCATTTACATACATAATTTGCTCAATGAAAGTACAGATCCCTCTCCTTTCTTCACCAAACTGTGCTAAAATTATAAAGTACATTCTGTTTGTCTACGAGTGAAACCACAGGTAAATTCCAGTAGAACCTTGGTCGGCAAACTGCAGCTCGCGAGCCACATGCGGCTCTTTGGCCCCTTGAGTGTGGCTCTTCCTAAGCCTTAGGAGTACCCTAATTAAGTTAATAACAATGTACCTACTTATATAGTTTAAGTTTAAAAAATTTGGCTCTCAAAAGAAATTTCAATTGTACTGTTGATAGTTGGCTCGGTTGACTAATGAGTTTGCTGACCACTGCATTAGAAAGTATGATCTTTTCAAAAACTATTAATACTTAGCTATCATGTTTAAAACAAAATAGCAATTATCTTCTAAAACATTTATTCTCTAAACATTCAATGTACTACTCTAATAACCTAATAGGATGTCTACAGTCATACCACCCAGAATGGGCTCAATCTCATCTGATTTTGTAAGCTAAGCAGGGTCTGGCCTGGTTAGTACTTGATAACCTAATAGAATTTATATATTTAAATTTAAAACTAAATTTTGCAAATTAAATTAAAGTCATCAAAATGTTAGTTTGTGAAACTAATTTAAATATTAAAATACATTGTAATATAACTTTTAATTATATACCATTCAAAACTTTCTAGCTTAATAACCCAATACTTCAAACATATACTAAATCAATTGGAACCAATTATTTAATATTTTAAGCATGGAAAATTACATATAACAATGTATTCAAATTCAAAAAGTATATACCTCTTAAAATATATAAATGGCACTTAAGCTGCTAAAACAAAATATAAAAATATAATCCATACAGTTTTCACACAAAAAGTAAATACTTCTTGATTTAAGTGGCAAAACTATTATATATATATATATATATATATATAGCAAATAACAGTTTCCCCTATTACATGGAATAAAAGTAAATCTACAATATCATAAGAAATTTTTTAAAAAGCTCAATTCTCCAAAACTCATCCATCCAACAATTAAAACTAAAGGGAAGTGGGGTGGAGGAGGAAACAGGTAAGGTCTGAAAGACTTTCTAAAGAGCCAAAATATATACCAACAAAGACCATGACTCTTAAAAGGGTATTCTTATTACATATATATGTTTCTACATTTAGCATTTTTCTAACTAATCTTTAAAATAATAAAAATTAAAAAACACAAATTTAAAAAGGGGAGGGGGGGCAAGAGGCAAGCACAGCTACAGCTCCCGTAAGACATCATGACAAACCAAGACAGAAAATAAAGAATTAAATTTAGCTGCATATGCTCAATAAACAGGCTATCTTCATTGAAATCTTAGTACTTAAAATTATATGCTGTATTGTCTAAAAAAATCATCTGAAAACCTCACACCCTGATGACACTGGACATGAGCTCACTATATTTCTATTCACTTAGGTAAAAATTAATCTACCCATGAGCTTTCTGATAGTTCAAAAATTAACCTGAAAATTTGAAAGCATGTCATTGCTTTAAAACGTATTCTATATGCTTCTTAAAAGAGAAATGTAGTTATAGAGTATACATACATACTCCCAATTTAGGTATAGCATTCTCAAAAGATAACAATAAAAGGTAGTAATGATATTTATATAGTATTTGTAAGCACTTAAATAGTAAGTTTATATTTAATTAGTGTTTTTGAACAGATGTTTTATCTAAATCTCTCTACAGTCCCTGTACCCCCCAAAAAACCTACCACCATTATAAAACTGCTTTTTAGCATTCCCCTTCATATTTATTCTACAAATGTTATAAAGGGAAAAGAAAAAAGCAGAAAATGGGAGACTTATGCCCAGTGCCAGTGTGTCCATGAAAAAAATCTCAGAAGTTTTAGTTAACGGGAAATGAACTATTTAATTAAATTATGTTTAGCCGAAACCGGTTTGGCTCAGTGGATAGAGCGTCGGCCTGCGGACTGAAAGGTCCCGGGTTCGATTCCGGTCAAGGGCATGTACCTGGGTTGCGGGCACTTCCCCAGTGGGAAATGTGCAGGAGGCAGCTGATCGATGTTTCTCTCTCATCGATGTTTCTGGCTCTCTATCTCTCTCCCTTCCTTTCTGTAAAAAATCAATAAAATATATTTAAAAAAAAATAAAAATAAATTATGTTTAAACTAAAATCTTATTATTTCTCATATAAAGTAATCTTAAAAAAACAATTTATGATTCTGAGGTTGGCTTGTTACAAGAAGAAAAAAGGAGCCTTACCAAAAGGAACTATATTGCCAAATATAAATCTCTAATCTTTAATATTGCTTTCTCTTATTTAACTTATAAAAATTGCTGCAAAACGGGAATAAACAAATATGGTAATACATAATTAAAAAGCCATGAAGA